ATGATTAATCTACTATATAAAGTATAATATTGCCTTTGCTAGTTTGCATTTTTGTATCACCTGTTTATATATTTTTGTTGCATTTGTTTTTGAATGTATGTTTATGAATTTTCTTACAGTAGACATGCATGTCTTTATATTGTCAGGGGGTTTGATGTAAATTGCTGCATTGGAAGCCTGAATCAGGCTCTTTTCTCCCTGATGCCTGTATTAATTCTGCGTCCCTCTGGACCAAAATCAGCTTTTCTGCAGGTTTTTCACTGTCAGGCCATTTTACCTGCTGCACAAATGCCGGTAAACCTCTTAAGCCTATTCTGCCCCATTTCTTTCTCTCTTCCCCTCCCAACTAGTCTCAGAGGATTCACCAAAGACAAAGACACAACCTTTCCGGCTATTAGGGCCATTTAGAGAGATCCCCATGTCGAACAAGCTTGAGTTATATTGCTGTCAAATGTATTTGATGCCTGTGATCAGTATTTTTATACTTATAGTCCCTGTTAGCTGCGGTGCTGCTCAGGGCTTTTAAGATTTTTAAAAGTAGGTCTTTGGCAGGCCACCTGTCATAAGGATCAGATGATCACATGCTAAATTGTGCATTGGTGGCCTCAGCTTTACCACTTTCCCATTGTCTTAAAGTTTTATAAAGGAAAATGCAAGACTTTGAGTCTTTTAGACCAATTAAAATGAAATATTGGCCTATATGTGAAATGAATAAAAGTTCAAGTCTGCGTGACAGGCATTTCTTATGAAACATTTGAAGACGTTTAAAGTTAATTGCAGCATTATTATTAGGAAATTATTAAATCCTGAACTGGTTTTCCCTCTAAAGAAGACTTGACATTGACAACTGAGTAAACAACGAAGTGTTACAAGTGATGTCCTCATCCACAGTAACCTGGAAGCTGAAATCAATGCCATCCAATGTCTGCATCTGTTCTAACACACGGCAGATTACAAAGTATAAGCATTCTCGTTTCCAAACATCTAAATAATGAATGTACATAACATCCTTTTGTTTAACCCAGAACATTTGCTGTACAGCTCTCAAAAATTTAAGTCTTCTACTGCTGGTTAGTTTGTGTTGTTTTCTGACTTTGGTGTTTTTAACCTTTCTAAAACAATGGAGTCTCATGGCTTTGAATAGAGCGAAATAGTGACAGGTTGCTGGTTAAACAAAAAGGATCTTACTCATTTAAAAAAAGGTCTATCTCTGTAGGGATCCTTTCCACCATGTCAGACAGTTGTAATAGCAATTTTCAGCCTGTCAGTGGCAAAGTACCAACGTTACCCTTTAAGTAGATGTGGCAAATCAGGAGCAGTCAAAGTGATTGATCGTGGGATACTGACAGCAACCTATTTCATCCCCAGTGTCATCAGTTCCCTGTTAAAAGATACAACCTGATTGTTAGAACTTTAAATATGAACCCATCCTAACATCTACAATTCAGTGATCGGGACATTGTCCCTTCTTTTGTTATTGCAACACACTTGGACAGTTTGATTTGGTTATGCATTTCCCCATTCCCCTTAAAGGCAACACATAGGAGACACTTTATTTTCTAAGTAAGCACACAAATGGCGTTCTCTGTCAAATGTGACTGCTCCAAAAAAGCAATAATTGTTACACATTTGCACCCCACATCAGCTCAACCTGGCTGTGGTACCATGGCTACTTTTGTGCTTCTGTACCATGTGTGCTACAGGCGTCAAATGTTGTGATGCTATGCTTAGCGATAAACATGTATTGCACTTGAGTTTTCATCAATGAAAACAACCAAGTCAACCTATAGCCAACCTGTAAGATTAGCCAAGTCTGTCACTCTGTAGTTTCCCAACCATGAACATGACTAGCATGTTTTTCTATTCTATCTATTTTTAGGAATTGACATTGGGTCTCTGGAGTGGTGCCAAGATTTTTTGCCCGTTTGGCATCCGAACAGCCCAATATTTTACCATTTATTTAATAAAATTGGTTAAAAAATTATCTAAGTCCACTTTTGGTTGTGGTCTTCAGCTTGGCCATTGCATTATACTGCCGGGCTTTGCTGTGTACAAGTACCATCTCTCTATCTCTCAATGCACATCCTCCTTCATCTGTCTAGAAACAAGACAGTGGGGACTGTGAGAAAGCTCTATTTTGTTCCTACAGGGCGGAAAAGTGAATGGAAATGAATTGTGTCTGTAATAAATAATCCTCTTAATATGAGGGAGTTTATTCATGGACAACAGTGGCTTTACAGGAGGTTTTCTTAGCTGAAGGCCAAACTTTGCTCTGAAGCAGCAGGGTGCATCTCTTATACTGAGACACACAAACAGGAAACCCTGATGAAGACAGATTGCAGAGTTATATTTTGAGGGATGAGATAAGGTGAGAGGTGAGCAATGTGTGGGTGTGTACGCTGATGAAACAATTGGAAATATGTTTAAAGTTTTTTATTGTTTGTTTTAATGGTGCAACATACAGTATGTTTTTTGTTTTTTTTACATATAGAAAACAATTTTATGTTTTTTGTGCTATATGTCTCTTTTATTAGTCGACATGAAGTTAACCTAAATCATAAAATAACACATTTTGCCTGGGTGTTTTTTATTAATGCAGATATATTTGGTTTCATTTGCCCAGGTTTTGAAAACTTGTTGTGAGATTTCTGCTCAAGCCACAATGCAATTGAGGTTAATTGAATTTCACATTGGCCCCACTGAAATTTAAAATATCAACAATGTATATAATTATAATCAGCCACAACAATGAGTCAAAAACGAACAGCATAAACTATATACCGCAAAATGTCACAAAAAGGGATTTAAAAATCTTTAATTAAAGTGCAGATAAGAAACATATCAAAGAATGCATCTTAGAAACACTTGTGGTGACTCGGGCCCACAGACCTCACTGTAAACTACTTGGGGAACTATGGGTTATCCCAAGTGACTGGATGATATTTCTGGAGTTTATTTCAAATCGTGTTTTTCTTAAAGTTCCATTCACCCCCATTGTATTTGGGTGGAAGCAGATGATTCACAGACGGATATCTGAAAATCTCAGCACTTAAAACCAGAAACTATTTGCATGACTAAATATCACTATGACTGAATGGCAAAAATATGTTTTTCTTTTGTAATTTGGGTGAACTGACCCTTTAAAATTGTCCCGCAGGATGTCTTAGTCAACATGTATCATATCTGTGACTCAGGAAAGCAGAGGGCTACACGCTGCGCCAGTATCCCAGCACAGAAAACGTGATGATGGATTGTGCAGCCAGTGGATTTAGTGGTGCTGTAGCATCCAGCAGGTTTGTCGGAGTTCAATTGAACAATGTGCTGCAGAATACTGGAGAGCACAAAGGGCCAGAAACCTTTTCTCACAGGCTAATCTTATACTAACCTGCAAACCATATGGGTGGTGGCTCGCGCGCGTGTGTGTATGTGTGTTTTAGACAAGGAGACAGAGAACATGTGAGAATTTATTTGGCAGAAAAAGTTGTTGGCCTTACGTAAGAGGTCTGAACATTGGCCTTAGGTAAGAACGATGTTCATCCACAGTTATTGCATCAGTTTCACGTAACGCTCTACACATGTTAGGGGAAAGCGAGGTTACATAAGTGTTTTGTTTGCTTTGTGCAAAAGAATATCTGTACTTCAGATATAGAATAAAGTCGTGTTTCAGACATGCATTTGAATAATTTTAAAACTATTCATTACCTACCTCTGGCCTGATGTATTTAAATCTTCTTTCACCTGTATAACCTTCAGCTTTTCTTTGTTATGTGGAAGTAGGTGGAGTTGCATAATTTAATACATAGACTGAAAACCAAATGCTGACACAAGTGTAAAAAAACAACAGTTTGGGTCGGACTGACGTGGAGGTTTGTTTGTCTAACTTTGTAACTTACTATGTAATTTGATACTGATATCTTATTTGATACTATGTTTACATGGTAATAAAGATCTAAAGGAAGAAAGAATAGAGCATTGATACACAGTCATGCAAATGTAGAAAAGGTAATCAATATATCCAGCAAAAATGCCAAACATTTTAAATGTGAGGTTGGTGCTATCGATGCTATTTTGTTTTCTCAACCGATCATAATCAAGATATGGGATCGTTTTAGTCTAAACTATTTCAGTTTATCCGGTGCAGGGTTTTGCACAGATTTTGAACTTTCCATATGCGTTACCTGTATATAATTAAACTGTCTTTTCTTCCCTTTTCAACAGATTGCTTTCTCTCAGCACAACAGCATCATGGACCTGGTGCAGTTCTTTGTTACCTTCTTCAGGTAAGTTTTTCCTCAGTGTCTTATTTACTGTGTGTACTGTGTTTGCTGTGTTTGCTGCAGAGCATCCAGCTGCTCATCTCAGGGCTTTGTTCCTCAGTGGTTCACTTCCCTGAGGCTCTTTGCACAACTGTGCTATAGCCTGAGCACATTGAGTTACAGTAGGTGGCAGCAGCCTCAGGAAAGACACTTTGCCCCCAACAGCTCTTGCAATCTTCTCCATCTGCTCAACAGCAACAAGCAGATGTGTGGGGTAACTCGTAGGTGTGTGAGTTAGGTTGCTGAGAAAGAGCAACTCAACTGATATTTAAAAAATGACTTATATTGCACTCTAAAAATAGGAAATGTGCAAACCAAATTGACAATCTTGCAGTAAACTATGATTTGTTGATGTGCAGGTCAAAAGGAGCTTTTTTAGATGTCAAGGTTGAAAAACCTTGATTTCACTACATTTCAGCATGTACTTATGACCTTCTTTACCCTAAAAATATAGCCATTTATAGTATATGCTGTGGAAACAATGGTGCATTGAACCTTGATCTTAAAAACAAAACAACAACTTACTTTTCAACCAAAATTAGCTCAGTATTGATTAGATTTCTATTGACCTGCAAATCACCAAATTAATGGTCTCAACATCTTTGAACAATAAGTGCATTTTCAGTAAGGTCATAAGAATTTTATACTACAGTTTCTCCTGCCTATTAGCTCACTTTGATCAAAGAAGAAAAAAAAATATAATAATAAATATATATATACCGTAAAACAATTATTGGCCGAGTCCCAAATAGCCGCCTACCTCCTTTACTGGCCTGGTGTGGGAATACATTTTGACAAATAAACGCCTGCCTCCATTAAACACCTGGTCTGGTTTTTGTAGAAGTTCTTTGGATGTATTAAACCTCTTAAACCCTGCGGGGTCGCCCACTTTAGCTGCTTCTAAGATGCTTAGATCGCAAGAACACAAACACAAATATTAATGATTAAACGTATGATCCATGTGTCAGTATGGACATGCTGCACATCGTTAGATCCGTTAGATTCTCCACAATTCAGTCATTCAGTTCATTTAACGCAAACAACGAACCCCAAAGTCTAATTCTGAACCTGCATGGTAGGAGAGGAAAGGAAAAAAGTGCTGAATGCCATTACCTTTGAAGCCTCGTTAAGTCCGAATGTGTCCGTTCCTTTATTATTTATCTTCCTTTAGTCTGTAAGAGTCCCCCGATCAGAAGAACAGCTTTTCAGAAAAATGAATCCAAGTTATGAATCCTGTCATGTGAAGTCCTTCACTCTCTGTCAGCTAACTTCTGCCACACTTCTCTCATCCTGCACCCTGTTGTTGTTTCGTTAGTTGCTGCCTTCAAAATAAAAGCGCACAAGTAGTCTGTCAGAGCTAGATCAAATGAATGACGTGTATTTGATATTATTTGATCATTTTTATACAAGTATTATTCTGTTTGTTTTGTGCAAAAAGAATTAAGTACCTGTCCTATATGGACGCCTGTCCCAAATATAGGCAGGGTCAATTCAGTGATTTTAGCAAATAAAAGCCCGGGCTATTATTCAAAGTTTTACGATGTGTATATATTAGAAAAAAACTAGACATTATCCAATGAAACACAACCTAACGTCACCCTAAGCAGTGGGTTAGCATTTATGATCATCATATTTATCATGTAGAAGAATTTTAACTAAAATATATCCCCAAAGACGGTTCAGACAGAACACATGGCAGATTTCAGAGATGACGCAGTTGCATCCGAAGTTAACGGAAAGACACGATTAGCTCCAGGGCAGCGCGACCTGATGCAAAGATGCAAGTTTCAACTTGCGAAAATTCACACTAGAGAGTAAAAAGAGAGAGGCTGGAGGGAAATGAGCCGGCAAACAAACTCACACGGACAGTTTTACAAATCAGTAAAAAGCAAACGTTTCTTAATACAATGGCAGTGAATGTTTTTGTTTTGTTTTTCGCTTGTGGTGTGGCAGAATCAGATGTTTTCCTGTTTGTCTCTGTGATGCATGCTGTTGTGTGGTGTTTGTTTAAGTAGTATTAATACTTAATAAGGTCTGAATAGTAATAGCTTAAAGACTCATCTCCATAATTTCCACACACATCAAACCAAACAGTCAGACAGAGCAGTGAATTTTTTTGGAGTGGGTGAGAGACGTGTATGTTACTGCTCGTCATGCAGACAGGCAGTGGATATAATGAGAGAGTGTTTTGGAGGAAGAAGTCTGGAACGAAGTCTGCTGTCTTCAGGCAAGATTCTGCCACTCAGCTACGACACCGGACAAGTGTGTGTTTGTTCGGTGCGAGTGTGTACGTGCGCGTTGTTTCCTGTACGTGTACATGTGCGTCCCCCTCACTGTGTGTCCGTGCTTGTATATGTGCGTGTTGGTGTGTGTCACTGTGCTGCCATGTGTGGAAAGTGAGCCATTTGTGTGCCCACGGCCGGCTTCCGGACATCAGCGACCTTTAGGCCAGCATAGAGGGATGATGTCATCAGTAGGGGACAGCGTCAAGTTTTGCCGGGAGAGTTGGTGTTGCTTGTGTGTGTGTGTGTATTAGTCACTGCTCTGTTTATGAGTTGCTCTCTTCTGCACTGCATCAGACTCTCAGTGAGAAAAGGTTATGTGCTACATCTACAGGACTTTTTTGTTGTTGGTTTATTTGCTGCCCTTATTATACAGTATAAATGTAATTTGCATGTTTTTTTTTTATTATTAATGTCCTTTTACATATATAAGAGCAGCATTACCATAATTAAAAAAATGCTCAATTAAAAGACAATGCTTTTAAATTTGTATTCTTAGATGCGTCAATCAATATTTTCAATGTTAACACAGAATCAAACAAAAACAGCTGTTCAAAGCCTCTTTTAGCTCAAAGTTTTGGCTGTACGGTATATTAACTGTATAGTTCAGTCTCACCTTACCGCGTAAGGCCCGTTTCCAGCAGCAACAGGCAGCTGTTTTCAGCAAACAAGCTCTAATAAACCCACTTTACGCTACCAGCCCCGCACCAAATGGCAAACAAAGTTAATTGGCGCTTTCACACTATGCCGGTATTGTATAATTGTACGATGTCAGTGTCAGGGATTATGCCGCAAACGTCGGTTCACTATGAATTAGTGAATGCGGCATATTGGCGAATATTCTTTCCGCGTGTATGGCATTGTATTGTGTATCTGTATAAAAGGGCCTCATAATTAGCTGGTGAAGAAAGTGGTAAATAAAGGAGTTTTTGGAAGGCAAAGTGGAGCTAAAAGCAGACTGAAGTTGGAGTTAAGATCAATAACTTTTTGCTAAAACATTTACCATACATTTTGCAGCTTTAGTTCTGCTGTGGGGAACTTTTGTCTCCACCTTCCGATTGTGCGAGTATAAAATAAATATAAAAATGCTGAGTTGCTGCTGTCACCGTGGTTGCACCCCCTTCAGCTCTAGCTGCCAAATCATTGCTGGGGTCACTACCGGTGTGCCAGCGTGGGATTGTCGCCACAGACGATCTGATTTAAAAGCTCTGGTATACAAAGAGATTTACCTGTTGGTGATGGGGTTTTTCTGTCAATGGATATTTAAACTATATGTCAGAGATGCAGACGTATGTATGTATGTGTGTTTGTGTGCGTGTAGGTCTACATCACATAGGTGGGTATGTGTGTGTCTTTTGGCTCCACTGTGCTGGTGGGGTCAGGAGCTCGAGTGCCGAACTGCCTGAGTCATGACTCAGTGTGTGTTTGGCTGTAGGCAGAAGGCACAGTGATGAGATGCAGTCTGGCACTGGGAAGGAAGAGAAGAGGGAAGATATGCAGCAAACATAGAAAAAAGCAAAGTGATTGAAAGGAGAGATTGGCGATCTCGCTTTATTGTCTGTCGACTAATGTATCTGTCTCTGTGTCTGTCATCAAGCAGATATGATTGGGGGTTTTTTTTATTGCTTTTGGGGGCTTTTTATTGTCTTTACTAGATAGGGACTGCTAAAGAGAGACAGTAAAGATGGGAGAGAGAGAGAGAGAGAGAGGCGATGACATGCAGCAAAAGTCCCGGGCCGCTGCGGTAATGACTTAATGTATGGTGCAATGGATTGACCAGGTGAGCTACTGGGGTACCCAGGAAAATATGTTTGAAGGGAACATAACCAGGCCTTAGTTAAAAAAGCAAAGAAATATTTACATACAACGCATCAGCAGTGTGTTGACTGTCAATGTGTTTTCTCACAGCATCCTCTGCTAGCAACTAAAGCACGATTCACATTTGTATAATTACTGGATGTTTAGGCCAGTGTTGGGAGTAATATGTTACACAAATACCGCAGTTACAGTAAAGTATTGCTCTTTGCTGTAACGCAGTAATATAACGCATTACTAATCACATTTCGGTAAAATTAGACCTGTTAAAATCTGTGAAATTTTGAGGGGAACATTAAGATTGAGGAAAGATTGTGGTGTGGGTTAAATATTGAGTAGTTACATTTCCTCCAAAATCCGTTTGCGTCCATTGTTGATTGAACGATTTTGTAGCTACGTTACTGATACTGCCGTGTAAATAACTACAAAGCAAAACATTTGAACACGAATGGATGCTGCCAGGGTTAAATAGGAGGGCAGAAAAATAATCAAATTTAAAAAAGCTGCAGTCATCATTTAGTTTTGGGGTTGTATAATGACACAGTTTTAAGAATATGCAATGCTGTAACAGCCCAGAGGACAATCTATAAGTCTATATGTGTTTTATTAACTGTTGACTTTTTTCTTTTGTAAAATTGGGCCCAGCTGCTTAAAGTTTCTACTTCCTATGTCTCCCTGATTAGCTGTGAAAGCTCCTTCCACAAAGATTTGGAAAAATTTGAAACTCTCCTCCCCTCCTCTTCCCATCCCTCTGTTCATCCTCCTCATGTATTCTTTCTCATCTCTAAGAAGCAGAGGAGAAAAAGGAATACGGCCATAATTAAACAGCGTTTATGTCTCCGCTCTCCACAGTCTCAAATGCTAATT